GACAATTAATCTATAATTAACTAAGTCCACAATCAATTATCACCACTATATTTACACACTTATCTCCTTTTATTAAATCTCTAAAATATACAAACCCCTTAGGTTCCACATATAGGTTTGCCCATTAGATTTAATACCTTTTATCAATTCTAACTAAAAAATTATTAAACTCGTATGAGGTCATTATTGTCACAACAACCCTAACAACTCTAACTTAATACCCCATTTTTGGATATTAATGGAGCCTACACACTAAAAACATGTAAAATCATCGATCACTTGCTTAAATAGCTCAAACAACTCCCAATAATTCCCCTTGAATTAATGGGTTCAGACCCATAACCTATATGAACCAAAAATCAACTTTATACTCTAAGCCCTAGCAAAAAAACTTAAGAAAATGAGTTGAGAAGAAGAAAATAGTTCAGAAAACTTCTCTTAGAGTTTGATAGTTTTAAAATGCCTCTAAACTTCTTGCAATCAAAGCTCTAGCAGCGCTCTAAGTCTCCTTCATTTCCTCTCATTTTCTCTTTTCTTTTTCTCTATTTTTGCATCAGTTTGTATTTTATTTCTACACAAAATGTAATATACGCCATGGCACATATCCTCATATGCTACAGCATATGGTATAAAGAGGTGAACTTTGCATTTTAGTGGCTCGTGTGTCATGACATGCAATGCATGTGCCTTAGCATGTAGCACAAAGTCATATCTCCTTGTTTTTCTCCCTTTGTCATGCTTAGGTAGCCTGATTTTACTTTAGACTCAATCTTAGGGCTAAAATCACAACCCAAAACATCCATTAACTCTCTGTAACCACACACCACATAAATTTACTTAATTACCCTTATTTACTCAGCTAATTTGTGGTTAAATTTTCTTGGATGTTACATCTATCTTTAATTTCTGATTTGGTGATGGTGAAAAATCTAGGGTTTGAAAAAGGAATGAATTTATGATGAATAAATATGATTGTTAAGATTGTTAGTAGTATAATAAATATTCTAAAGTATTAATTGTTGAACCCTAGTTTTGATGATTATAAAATAAAGAGAAGTTTTGTGCATTTTAGGTTATTTAATTGAAACGTAAGTTAATGGCTTAACATTAATCTAAACTGGCTAAGTGTAAGCTTATATGAAATAGAAGGTCTTTTATCCAAATTAGTTAAGTATTTGACTTAATTATCATCAATGTGCTTGAAGCTGTCTTGTTGTAAATTGTTTTTAAGTGTCCTTAGCACCAGTACTGGAAGCTTTAACATCGGCGCTACTTCCATTTGCTCCACTGTTCTATTGGTTTGAGTTTTATATAACACTGGTCCTACTTATTCTAACACTGGTGCTATATCTTTTAAACCTATGCAATTGATTCTCTCTATTTTAAACTTTTTTCTTTGCATTGGTACTATCTATTTAACATTGCTCTTGTTCTTTCTCTGTCTTTCTTTTTGTTAAGACAATACATGTGTTACTTCATTAGCACCTATACTAGTTTTGAACAAATATCTATAACACTAGTGTTGACTCTATAACACTAGTACCATCCCTTCTATTCTCTTGCAAAGATGTTTGATTGACCATGTTACTTCAATGTTATTTTTTTTTAACACTGGTGCTGATTTATGTTTTCAAAAATATCCTTATTCACACAAAATTGTTAAAAATCTTAGTCTTTTATGATGTTGGATTATAACGATAATATTAGAATAACACTTGTGCTTCAATCAGAGTCTGCCCATCACTATAACACTAGTGGTAGGACATTATAACACCAGTACTACAATGCATTTTCATGCTTTATTTTTCGTTTCAATTCTAAATGTCACCAAAACTCATTGACACTATTGTTGAATAGTACCAAAATTAATAAAAACTAAATTTTACAGTAAAACATAACCTAAGTCATCTCTCTAAGAGTCAATAGAGTAATTATTTGAATTATGATTATGAAAAGCAAAAAAAAATGGGGGGATTTTTTTATAATGAAATTTAAAAACTAAATTAGAAATAAATAAATAGAGAAAATTCAACTAAGAAAATTATCAAGAATAAGCAGCGCAATCAATCACAACCCAATCACCTAAATTTAATCTTCCTCATCCACAAATTAAATTAATTTTATTTGACTTTATTATTCTGGTTTTATTATATATTTCTCAAATTATCATTCAAGAATTAAACAAGAAATTAAGTTATAGATTAATTGAAATCTCCATTAACCCACAACCTAACAACTGTTCTATGTTAGCCATACCAGAAATAAAGCATGGATAATCACCCAAGCTAGACCAAATTACTCTTAAGTTACTATATCAATCGATTATAACAAGTAAAACCTCAGATAAAATTTATAACCCAAAAATTATACAATAAAGCTACTCTAATCAGCAATAACAGTTAAAGTATAAAATTCAAAGGTAGCGAGATGAAGAGCAAATTGAAATAAAGGTTAAAATAAAATTTTTTTTAATATCAAAAACTCCAATTAAAATTTAAGATCATAGTTTGTGATTGATCACATCAAGAAAATTAGCTCTCTATAGAACTAAAAATCAAATAACATAAAATGAAAATTGAGAAGCCATCACCCAAGAAATTGGAGGAAGAAAAGGTAAACCGCGATCGCTATTCTGTTTCCCTTTTCTTTTCGTTAAAATCACGGTCACTATGCTATTTTTTTTCTTCTCCTCATGATCCCCCTGTCCTCATATATATATATATATATATAAGGTAATCACCTGCGTACGGCCAAACAAAAGTTAATAATAAAATGATAAAACTACCCTAAGTAACCCTAATTAAAAATTACACTAAATAACCCAAAATAAATTCAAATAAAATTTTAAAGATTTGATTCTTGATTTAATCTCCAAGTATGCCCATATTCTTCTTATCCAATATATTCTCTATCAATATCTTCCAAATTAAATTTAGAAAATCTACACAAATAAAATAGAATTAAATAGCACCTGTGCAAAAATATTAAAGATATTATTTATATTTTAAAATCAAAGATTTAGTTAGTTAAAATTCTAAAACTGAATATTGGCTAATAAAATTAAATAATATCTAATTAAACTCAATTAGTTTCAAATAAATATTTAAAAGTCTAAATTAAAAGGATAAAAATATATAAAATTGTCATTTATCACTCATCTTTCAATCTTTCTTTTTATCCAAATTTCATTGTGTTCCCTCTATATCTTTACTAAATGATATTTAGATACAATTATTTCTTTGAAGTTGTTCAGTTTTCTTATCTTTCATTTAGTCACTGAGCTTGCTTTTTGTTATATCGAAACTTATAAGTTTTAATCACTTTTGTCAAAAGCATTTAATATTTTTAGCCATTACCTTACAAGAGAGAAAGTCTCTGCTATAAAGCATTGTTTTATTGTCTCATCTACCAAAGAACCTTAAATAAGCTGGGATATCTAAGGAAACACAAAGGAAAGAAGGAAACAGATCACAAGCAACCTCCAACGAAAAAATTTGAGTCTAACATATCATTTATGATCCTCAACTATAAATAGACTCACTTATGAAACTTAAAGACAAGCCAAAAAGAAAATTATGTGATTACTTGAGTATTAAAGTTTATCTACTTTCTATATATCATTTATTATTAAAGAGCTTTATTAATTATATATATACTTTTAGAGAGAGTTTAAAAGCAGTAGTAGTTCATTATTGAACTTACTCTATTTATTCTCATTTTACATCTTCAAAATAGAGGAATCTAAGCACAAGGAACTCAAGGAGATTTATCATTATCTTTGTAAGAGAGAGAGTTTCAAACTTGTTGAGAAGTCTGTTGATGTACTGAGACAACTAAGAGCTTGGATTAATCTTGGTAATTTAGTTGAAAATTTCAGAAGATTCTTAGGGACTGAATGTAGACTCAAGTGGTAGGAGTCAAACTAAGATAAATCACTTATGTTAAGCTCAACACTTCTAACTTTCATAATTCATGATTTTGTTCCTTCATTACTCTTATTATTACTACAAATCATTTAATTTTTTTAATTAGCCTAATTCACCCCCTCTTGGGGCATTTACATTAATTTCTTGATGGGATTTGAATTTGAGGCTTATGAGTTAAACCCTGTAACAGTCACACCCCCCGAGCCCACTGCTGTGAGTGGTGGACTGGGTTGTGCCACCTCACGACTACCCAGCCAGCTTTCCCCCCGGTAGTTCGAGGGTTATTCCCCGCACCCACTACGCTAAGGGAGCCTTCCCAGGTTCGATCCTCCAACCTCTCCTACATAGCAAAGTTGAGGTTGAACCTGGTACAATTGAGTCAAGTTGACTCATATAGCCTCAACTTGAATGGTACAAAATCCACATATAGCTGTCACTTGACTCAATGGTACCAAATTCAGCCTCAACTTCGCTATGTAGGAGAGGTTGGAGGATCGAACTTGGGAAGGCTCCCTTAACGTAGTGGGTGCGGGGAATAACCCTCGAACTACGGGGGGAAAGCTGGCTGGGTAGTCGTGAGGTGGCACGGCCCAATCCACCACTCGTAGCAGTGGGCTCGGGGGGGTGTGACTGTTATATTAGTTGTAAAAACTTGAGTGGAAAACAAGTTAGAATGAACTGTTGTTAATTTAAAATGAGTTGTTATTAAAATTTAAATGAATACCTGTTGATAAAGACTAACCCAAATCGCAAGTATCTACTTAAATTTTGATAAGTGATTCTTGATTGATATAAATTTTGATTAGTGATTCTTTATTGCTATTTCCTCCCTTTTTTTTGCCTTCCATCCTCAGTAAATATGAGCTGATATGTAATGTGAAGTAAGATTTAATTTAATTTTTTTTAAGTCTGAAAAAAAGTTAAAATCATAAAAAGTAATTAAAAAAATATGTACATGTCCAATTTATCATTTTAAGATCATATTTACCAACCCAGTCCTGTTACACGGGCTTAAACGTGTGGCCCAACGAATGGCTTTCCCGGCTTTAAGAGGGCAAGATCCTCTCCCGTCATTCATTTCAAAGGAATCTGAGCTGCACTGTTGTTCGCCTCCTTTTAAATTGATGTTGATTTTATGAACGCTATTCAAGGGAACGCACGGAATTTTGGCTGCGACTGACATAAAGAGCAATAAAGCATTTGGGACAAAATGATGAGCGGGGTTTCGCCTTCAGCATCACCCGCTCCAGTTTCTTGTTCCTTGTCCAAGCTCCAATTTCCTCTCCACCACTTGTCCTGGAATACAGTTGCGCCTTCTACTTCATCATGTCCCAAGCTCAAAGGCTTAAGATTTGCCAGCAGAAGGGGTTATCAGAACATTGGAGTTCGATTCAATAGAAGCATCGGGCCGGGTGGCCCCGGCTCTGGTAGAAAACGTTTTTTTTTTTTTAAAATAATCTCTCTCTCTCTCTCTCCCCGTACTTTTAAGGTGGTCTCTCTCTGACCTCTTAGATGCTGCTATTGTTCACCTGTACAAGGCGAACTCGTTTTTTATAAGATTGCTGGTCAGTTTACCTGTATGACAATGCTTGATCATTTATTTCACTATATGAAGAGGGTTTATCAAATGAAGTTTTAGGATGTTTCATTGATGGGTTTTGGCCTTGTAAGCACCGGATTATCGTAAGGTATTGTATTTGATACGAGTATCGTAATCATAACTTATATGGGTGAGCTCTGTTTTTGAAGTATAATGAACTGCAATTGATTGAAATTTCCTTCCTTAATGCTGTCTCGTTTTCTGCATTTGCATGATAAATGAGAATGGGTAGTCTAGTGTGCCTCATTTTTTTTATTTTACGGAAGGGTCTGGTTCAATGTGGATATTGTGGATTTTTGGCAAATTTAAAGAGCATCCATTCTTAGACCTGAGATTCAATCTGCTGCTGTGGATTCGTTATCTTAATTGGTAATGTTGCCAAAGGCATGCTCCAAGTTGTAAATGGATCTATGACAACTCAAAGTTTAAGTACCATCTTACTTTGAAAATGGATCAGTGGCAGCCTACTTTAAATGCCTTTCACTTTGATGCTCCAGGTAGGCCTTTTCCAAATAATGGCTTTCCCTCGGGGGGTCCCTGTAGGCCTGTATCCCTTTCCCAGGTGGGTACTCGGGGTGCCATTTAATTTTGACCATTTGGATGATAACCCTTTCTAAGGTTGGCTGGCTCTTAATGAAAGATTCATTCGTTATGATTCTGAACCAAGATGAAGCTAGAATGTTGATGGGAGAGCCTCAAGACTTTAAAATACCACCTTAAGGCTTCATGGTTACCCAAGGTGCAAGGAGGTAGCTTAGGGATGCAATCTGTCCAGTTCATCCATGTTTTGTCGGAAGTTCATTGAGTGTTTGATTGAACTAAACTGAAGACTTAGGGTATATTGAGTTGTTTATATTGGTTTCAAATGCACAAGCGTTGAAGGATTCGACGCCCAAGCCCAAAGCACTGTGTTTTACTTAGTTATTTTTTCTGTTTATTGTTTTTATTAATTCTTGCTTATTATTATCATTTAACTAGGTTCAGATACATTAGGAATAAATATTAATCGGATTTATCATATTATAGCAAGTAATTTTGGCAGATTATGAGGGAGCTGAGCATATAAACCCTATTATTCTGTTCTATCGAATAACACAGAGGGAATCCATCATCTGTTTTCTCATTAAAGTAATGAATCGCCCAGGCAATGGTGACAGCAGGAGCATTCTGGATGCATTTTTCTTGGGAAAAGCATTAGCTGAAGCTGTAAATGAGCGTATTGAGTCCACAGTTGGTGAGTTTTTGGGTGCTGTCGGTAGACTGCAAGCTGAACAAAGAAAACAAGTTCAGGACTTCCAGGTAAGGGCAGTTTAAGCTATCATTACAATTTTCTGCATTCCTGATCAATATCATCTACGCAGAACCATCTGCTGTCTCATGTCTCTTTGCTTGAGGATTGATCAAATAATATCATGCCCCATTTTCTTGATAGCTAATTTTAATAATTGTAAAAATAAAAATTGTTCTGATGTACACAAATTGTTACACCACAAGTGTATGGGTTAGTATGCATTATGTTGGTATGTCAAGGTCGATCCTATGAGAAATTAAGCAAAATAGCGACTAGGCAATGAAGCTCCGACTTTTGTTTAAGTTAGTCAAAGCTAATTGGAATTGATTGATTAGCCAAAATTAAAATTGAATTTATATAAATTCACTAAAATTAAAGTTCCAACAATCACAAATAATCAAGGCAACCTATGGTGGCTAATCCTTTTTTCAATTTATAGAGCATGTAATTACTCAAATTAATTTATTTAATATCAATTCATTAATCTAGAGTATTAATAGGAATAATTGTCTTTGATTAATTAGTCTCCTCTCCTAAGTTAAAAATGCTATTCCTAGCACATATATTCAAGAGGCAAAAAGCATAAATCCACTCTAATGTGATTATATAAGTCCAATAGGTATACTCCTATCTTATTGGCAAATCAAAATAAATTCTAATCCTATGTCACTTAATCTAATGGTCAAATAAATGGTTCATACATGCTCTAATTCAAAAATCAGTTCATAACTACTCTAGATTAAGAGAAAATCAGTCATCCATGGCTCTAATAATAGTAAATATCAGCAATATATACATCAAAATAAAAAGAAGAAGGAGAAGCAGCGTTTAATTAGAGCAATCTTGAGTTAAACTCTTGATTTCTCACTAAACCCAAGCTTCGTTTGGCTTCTTTTCTTCACCCTGGACGTTCTGCAATTGTTGGAGATGAAGATGAGTAAAAAGTGAGGTCCCCAAACTCTTAAAATTCGCTGAAGATCAAGTTGTATGTTATACTAAAATTTAGTGAAATGCGTTTTTGCTACAACGAACTTGACTTGTGCAGAGTTCCTTTTCAGCATTACCTTTTTGGACTTGGACTTGCATCTTGGGCTATTTTTGAAGCAAAATACACATGAATTACTGTAGAAAATTGGCCTAATACTCCTCTATATTAAACATGACCCACTTATCACCAAATTTCCTTCATCTCTTGTAAATATGCACTCAATTAATCAGTTAAAACACCTAGATGACTCCCTTTTTAATAAAATTGCTAGTGAAAATTAACAAAATAATGGAAGTCACCATGTTCAAAGATTTAATTTTTGACATTTTTGCAATGCGACTGTTTGGATGTCCGGAAAGTACACCTTGAGTTGCCAACTTCATTGCAAAAGTGTGTCCCTATCTATCATTGAACTTGGCTGTAAAGTAGCTGGTTCTAATAACTGCAGTTTGTAAGCATTCAGTATTTTAGTTACCATAAACATTTTATCATGAAATGAATTCCAACTGACCAAATTTGAAAGTCATGTGTTCCTGAACAGTTAAGAGATATAGCACCTAAAGGAGGAGAAGATGAGTAGGAGAATGATGTGTTTTAGATTAACGAGATATGCAGTAGGAAAGGATATTTGATATCTTTATGACATTAAGATACCTATTCTCACTAGAAATTCTTATTTTGGTTTGGTGGCCTAAAAATGGGCATCTAATCACTGAGAGAGATGGCCCTTTGATCATTGATCTGTCATTTTGACTTTGAATTTTGAGAATTTAGTTATTTTTCATTTTTGTTGCATCCCCCTTTCTTTTGGCATACAAAGGACAGGACCAAGCATGAAACGAGAAAAGAAAAATTGCACCAACTTGTCTGACCAATACAGGTCAATACAGCCTATTATAGGTTCATACCAAACTGTGAAATCATCTTCCCTACTTTGAGCATCCTTAGCCAGCCAATCAGCTACTCTATTAACTTCGTGATGCAAGTACAGAATTTATACGTCCCAAGCTGAGAAAATCAGGTCTCTCACTTCTGTAATATCAGATTTAAGAGGATGATTAAACCCACCTCTTGTCTTGAGTAAATGAATACTATCAAGTGAGTCCAAGTGGCATTTGATCTATGCAACATGAAGTTGTTTGCATAACTTCAATCCCATTCATAAAGCCATTAATTTTGCAGCAGATGGAGCAAGATATCTAAATCGACCTTGGAAACCTACAACCCAGTTACAATTGGCATCTCTAAGAACACCTCCACTTGTGACATGCCCGAACTGGTTTACTAATTGTAGTGTTTTTGAGTCACAAAACATGTTTTGATTTATTCACGAAGATGAGCAGCATTTAAATAGGTTGCAGGAATCATTTATAAAAGGAAATAAAATCAAATATTAGCCTTATTGATCCTATCTTATCAAATCTCAATATTTATGAAGTAAATCCCTCTAATATATGTATATATTTATTTAATTATTCTCACACTCCCCCTCAAATTAAATCATAGATACTAATTATATCCAGCTTGCTTATACAACTTTCAAAAGCAGGTTTGTGTAATCCCTTAGTCAACACATATGTTGCTTGGAGATTTGTTAGTGGGAAAGTTAGGCATATGATTCCATCTTCCACCTTCTCTCTAATGAAGTGTCTACCTATCTCCACATGCTTGGACCTCTCATGTTGGATAGAATTCAATGCCATACTTATGACAACTTTATTATCACAATATAGTTTTAGAGGTAGGTCAAGTTGAACATGGATTTCTTCCAATAGCCTCTTTAACCATAATTCTTCAATTATGCCTTGAGCAAGTGCTCTCAACTCAGATTCAATGCTACTTTTGGAGACAATCCTTTGCTTCTGACTCTTCCAAGTAACCAGATTTCCCCATACAAATGAGCAATACTTGGAAGTAAATTTCCTGTCTAGTTGATGTTCACCCCTATTTGCATATGTATACACCTCTTACCTCTATAGTCCACTGTTCATGCTTTTGAAATAGTAAACCTCGTCTAGGATTGCCCTTTAGGTACCTTAGGATTATGTATGCTACTTCTATGTGTTTTTCCTTTGGTTCACACATATACTGATTAGCTATACTCATAGCAAATACTATATCAGGTCTTGTGCATGATAGATATAGATAGGTAATTTTCCCAACAAGCCTCTGGTATCTGTCTTTATCCGTTGGCTTCTCTTTCTCTTTGTTCTCCTCTTCCTCAACATGGCCGCCTTCTTCCACTGAGCTGCCCTCTTCTTTTTTGAATTTTTGCCTTTTCTTTGGAACAACAATATGGGTTTCAACAAGTTTACACCCCAACATACCTATCTCGTACAAGAGATCAAATACATACTTTCTTTGATACACATCAATGCCTTGCTTTGATCTTGCAACTTCCATTATGAAGAAATACTTTAGATAGCCAAGGTCCTTGACCTTGAATTCTCTCCTCAAAATAGCCTTTACTCTAGCTCCTTCCTCACTGTGATCACCAATGATGATTATATCATCAACAAATACAATAAAGACAGACTTCTTACTTCCCTCTACTTTAACGAACATAGTATGATTTGATAGTCTTTGGTTGTAGCCTTGTAACTTTAGGACTTTTGAAAATCTATTGAACCACGCTTTGGAGACTATTTCTACCCATATAAGGATTTCTTTAATTTGCAATCTTGACTCTCCCTTCCTTTATCAAAGCTAGGAGGTAGAATCATATTGGCTTCTTCTTTCAACTTTCCATTTAAGAAGGCATTTTGGATGTCCAGTTGGTGTAATGGCCATTGAAGATTGGCTGCTACAGATAACAATACCCTAGTGGTATTCAGTTTTGCCACTGGTGCAAATGTTTTCTGGTAGTCAAGGCCATAGGTTTGTGTAAATCCTCTTGCCACCAATCAAGCCTTCAACTTGTTGAGATTTCCATCAGCCTTATATTTGGGGGTAAAGACTCATTTGCAACTAACCAGCTTTTTGTTCTTTGGTTTTTGCACAATCTCCCAAATTTCATTTTCTTCCAAAGCTTTCATTTCTTCCAACACAACCTCTCTCCATCCAAATGTTTTCAAGGCCTCATGGATCTCTTTAGGAATACCAACATCATCAACATTTGCAATAAAAGGTCGAGACCCAGGGTTAAGGCTTCATAAGATAGATACGTCTGAATGGGATGTTGTGTACACAATCGTTTCTTCTTGACAGCATTGGTCAACTCTAGGTCATCTTCTAAATTTTTTGAATCTTTTTCCACATCAGGATGAGGAGTTCTGCCATGTGGGTTTGTTTTGGAGTCTATCTCGGTGCTAGAACCCATGAATGAGGAGTGTCAGGCGCACAAGTTGGACTCTTGCTGGTTTCTGTCATCTTCATCTAAGTCATCGAGGTCAATGTCCAAGAGGTTTGATACCATATGGTGTTTTTAAGTTAGAAAACCTCGATGATTTATTCACAAAGATGAGCAGCATATATACAGGTTACAAGAATCATTTATAAAAGGAAATAAAATCAAATATTAACGCTATTAACCCTGTCTTATCAAATCTCAATATTTATGGAGTAAATCCCTCTAATATATGTATGCAACAACAACAAGAAGCCTTATTCCACTAAGTGGAGTTGGCTGCATGGATTATATGACGTCATTGTGCTCTATCATTTATTAAGCTTTTAGAAATATTGTTAATTAAAAGGTCTCGCTCAACAACCTCCAAAAGTGTTTTATTTGGTCTTCCTCTATCCTTCTTGATAGGGTTCAAAGTTATCTATTCCACTATTTTCACAGGTGCCTCCCGTAGTCATCTTTGTACATGTCCGAATCACCTCAAACGATTTTCTACCATTTTTCCTTCAATAGGTGCCACGTCCACTTTTTCCCATACTTTCATTTCGAATTTTGTCTTTACGTGTATATTTATACATCCATCTCAACATTCTCATTTCTGCTATTTAACTTTATGCGCTTGCTGTCCTGTCGAAGTCCAACATTCACTATCCTATAAAATTGCTGGTCTTATAACAGTTTGATAAAACTTTCCTTTAAGCTTATCAGGTGCCTTACAATTGTAGATAATTCCTTTAGCCTTTCTCTAATTAAATCACCCCGCTTATATCCTATGTGCAATATCTCCATCAATTTTCCCATTTTGTTGAATAATCGCTTCTAAATGTTTAAACTTTTTCACTTGAGGTATGGTCTAATCACCCAACTTCACTTCCAAGTTACTCTAATATATGTACATATTTATTTAATTATTCTCACACTAATCTATCAACATCCAATCTGAGATAGTCTTCAGGTGGGGAATCCATTTTCCACTTGGGTCTTGGAGCCTATGAAAGAGTTGATTGCTAAGCTGTCCATTCTCCACGTGTTCCTTGACTAGATACAGCACACTGTAGAAAATATCCTTTGCTGATTCTTTGTCCCTCAAATGCACCTTTACATCTGTTCTTCCAAAGTACCCAGCAAGTGATATTGAACACATTGGACAATTCCCAGCTGCTTACTCAAGGATACCCAAGGCATTATTAGCTTTCATTCTCAACAACACCTGTGCTGTAAGTCACAGGAGAAAAAAATGATATAGATATGGGGTTAATAAAATAAAACCAAACTGATTTGGCAACTTTGCAATCACACAAAATATGAATAACTGTTTCCTCACTATTACACTCAAAGGGGCAATCTGTGCTCTCACAAATTCCTTCCTGTTTTACATCACTGGGATTCAATATCTCAATGGAGATGTGAGAGAATGATGTAATTTAGAACAACTAGGAAATGCTAAATTTTTACTATTTTATGGTACCTATTTTCTTGAGAAATTCTTATGTTGGTTCGATTTCATAGAAATAGGCCTCTAACTATTTGGGTTTGGAGTTTAAATTTGTGGGGAGCTAGCACGGTGTTCTGCAAGCGTACGCCAGTGCCCTGTATGGAATGAACAGAACACAGGCTATCTCTTCATTGAAAATTCTTTCAATCAGTTGTATAATCATCACATCATCAAGTCTGATTTCCAAAAAAATCGCGTCAGAATTTTAGACAAAAATCCAATTTTGATCCTCTCGTTTGAAAGTACTTCCTCCAGTTCTATAAATGAACCACCTTCCAGATGAAATTGGCAGTCTTTTTCATCAGTCACTTTGCATAAAAAGAAAGACTATTAATTACTTTCTTCCATCCAATTTTACCCTTTCACAATTTACTAGGAGTAGGATATGAGATTGCATGAGAGAGAGAAATTGTTTCTAAAGATGATGCATTTAATAAGGGTAAAGTGAGTTTTTTTTCATCTGTCACTTTGCATAAAAAGATAGACAATTAACTACTTTTTTCCAATCCAATTTTACCCTTTCACAATTTACTATGAGTAGGGTATGAGATTGCATGAGAGAGAAATTATTTCTAAAGATGATGCATTTAATGAGGGTAAATAAGAAAATTTGTCTTTTTTAAAAAATATCAAGTGTTTGACTACTTTTCCTTGTTTCTGGTAAGGTAAATGACTTATATATAAGATTGGTGGGAGTATGATTTTGTTCAAATTTGGTCATTCCAGAAGTTCTCACATATTATACAATGATTTGATGATCAGAAATTCTGAGGTTGAAACTTCAAACAATTATATTATCGTGTTGGTGATCAACATAAGGAGTTTTTTTGTAAAGTTTATCATTTTGAATTCATCCTTGTACTTTCATGCATTTGGCCTTCAAGATTTAAATTCGGGAAAAGAAATGCATGTGCAGGATGAAGTGCTGGAAAGAGCCAAAAAAGCAAAAGAAAAGGCAGCACGAGAAGCCATGGAGTCGCACCGGCTGATTTCCAAGTCTTCCGCCAACACAGAAGTCGCAGACTACGCTGCTTCCAGACCTTCATACTTCGCAACGGAAACAGTTGATTCTGTCCAGCCTACCACTCCGTATGAAACAACTAATGATCCTGAGAAAGAGGAGCCACCTGCTTTAAGTTCTTCAACTAATGACTGACTTTTCATTGATGAATGTATGAGATACTGAATCCCTGCTATGCAGAGGCTATGCCTCTGCAGTCTTATTAAATTATCAAGTTGACAAGTTCTACGTGTTATTTCTTTAGTTAATTAGTTAATCCTTGTGGTTCCAAGAATTTTAAATTATGTTCATATAGTTTAAAAGTTTATGTTCAGGTTTTTATTGCTTCACAATTTACAACTATGAGTCTCCATCGTTATTGGTGTGCATGGATACGTGTGACGGAGTTGGATCTTCTACCCCTGTTTGATTCAATGGAGGGAAGGTATTTTAATAATCTCTTGTTTATTTTGAGAGGAGAAGGAATGAGGAGATTGTAATGATTTTTTGTTTGATTAATGAAGGGATGTTGAGAGAGGAGATAGTTAAGTATACCCTCTCCAATTCCAAAACTCCCCCCAATTTGAAAGGAAGGGGGAAGATGGGAGGGTAAGGGTGTTACCCTCTCTTTCCTTCCATTTTTTCATATCCAAACAATGGGAGGAGTCAAGAGAGTTGCTCCTCACTTCCCTTCTAAAACTATGCAACCAAACAAAGGCTAGGGTTTTATTTGGTGAGATTAAATGCTTTTGATAGAAATAAACGTGTTGTATTTATACATAATCTATGAAAAAATTAAAAAAATTATCGTTAAGTTCTACTAGTTTTAAAAAAATATATGCTTGAAAGATTAAGTAGTAAGATGTAATTGTTCATTTGTTCTTCACAGTAAAAAATAAGGTCAGCGCCAAATCTTTCTTCACAATTGCTTATACTTATGGTTTGTTTGGGTAACATTCCAAATGAGATTTGGGTGGCTCAAATCTCAGTTGAGACATTAAAAGCAAGTTGGGAACAAACAAACCATGTTTGGGTAGAAAATTTTCCAAAATAGCCTCAGGACCAAACATGGCGTTGGATTTGAATTTGATTTTTTATCCTTCTCACGTTAGCTGGGTGGGTGGATTGGGCATTAAATGACTTTTAATTTTGGCAATCTAATCTTAAGAAGTAGGAACTATATATGTTTTTAATTACTCTTATTTTTCTGTTCTTTTTATGTAAATATTATACTTTGACCTTTTGATAAAAAAAAACTTTATCTTAGTTTTTTTAATTTATATTTAATACTTAATTATCTATAAAATTTTTTAAATACTGTAATTTAAAGATTAATGTTTTTCTCTAAAATAATCCATTCATCTTTATATATAAAATGTTTTATAAAATTTTATTTTATCTTTAAATATAAAGGATATCGTAATATTTTTAAATAATTAGATAATTTGATCATTGTCTTGAAAAAAGGAAAGATACATTAATTGTGTGCTTTACCCATGACTATTATGATATTAATTGATATTATTAAAGGCAAAAATAAAAAATTATGGTGATTTAATGTGATTTCTACTAAATAATAAATTGATATTGATATGTGAAATTTAGTTAAAAACACTTTATATATAAGGAGGAAGGAGTATCAAATTATTCATAAAAGTATATATTATAAAATTCATGCCATTTTCTATTAAATTATCTAAATAAATTTTAATTTATCTAACTAACTTCTAAAAAAAGGTATCTAAATATAAATAATATAAAAGTCATATATTTCTATCTTAACTTCAATTTGCAAATATCAATTCATTTTAACTTCAGAGTTTTTAAAAAATACACCCTATATTTTTTTAAGGTAGTTTTTTCTACAATGTTTTGGAGATGTTTGGACAATTCTCCCCAAGGATGCATTGGTCCATGTAAGACATGGACTGGTTGGTACTGGTTGAATTAATTTTATATAATCAAACTAAACTAAACGTGATTAAGTGCCTTGCAGACAAAGCAAAGTTAAAGTGGAAGAACCGTCTTGTCAAGGTGCCCAAGAGGAAGAGATGGTTAAAAAAATAAACAATGTGACAATCAAGCAAAGCGAAAATCTTAGGCCTCTTTGATTATTTGGAAGAAAATTGATCTAAATGAATGTGGTATATATTTCAGTAACGTAATCCGCAATTCTTTCTATAGACGGTGTGAACTGTGAAGCATTCATGTTTTACTTTATTTTGTTGAAAAAAATTCCAGTAACCGTAGTCATCCTAAGAACGATAACGATAATGACAAGACAATAGATTCAAGGACTGTAATTTAAAAAAAAAACAAAAACAAAAACATGGGTTATGGGATAAAAATGATCCAGAAATTTTTTTTAAAAGGACATTCAATACTCTTACATTTTAAAAAAAATAATGTTATTTTAAAAGTGTTAAAAGTGGAGTAACGTTATCCTTTTTTAATCTCTAACCAACATTTGATCAAAAGAGGGCTTAAAACTCTCATGTGGCAAGCCACGTGACAGCAAACAATGCCCAGAAAATTGCAAGGAAAATCAAAACAAATCGAGAGAGAGAGAGAGAGAGAGTGGGAAGCGACTCATTGGAGCAATGCTCAAGAGTCTTCAGAGGTAGCAAGAACGGGGTGTTCTGGGACTCTTATGTTATCAATAGAGACGGTGAAGACCTTGGCCACGGACACGACAAAGTTGAGGTAATTGTCGTACATTGAGTTGAAGGAGGTTTCGATGACGAAGCCTCCATCATGGAAGTAGAAGAGGAGAGGAAGCTTGTGGTTGGAATTGATGATTTTGGGAGCGAAAAGCCTGGCTGAGACGGAGGTGTCCCTCGATTCCTCGAGAGATGACAATGTCGTGGGACTGGGTTTTGGTTTTTGGGTCGCGGACAGAGGAGCGAAGTCGAAGGTTGTCATCGTGCTCTCGGCCCCTCACACCTGGATGTGCTCTTAGATTTAGACTAAGAAAAGATGATTGCGATGCAATACTCTTTACTTTGGTCAAAACAATTCCCCCATTGCTTGCTCTTTCCATGGCCAAGCCATCGGTATGCTTTCTCATCTACTCGTTTCTTTCTATGATAATCCAATATTTCTCCCCCAATTTCACTTCTGATGATAATCCAATATGCCAACGATATGCAATCAAATCCCCAATTACAAATATGGTTTGCTTCAAGGGAAACTCTACAAGATTAGATTCGGCCAAATCTTTGAGATTGGACAATAGAGAGTAAATCGGAGGGAGTCAACGGCGATGGTTTTTGGTCTTGTCGTCTTTTATCTTTTGATTTGTTGTTCAACTAATTGTTGACTATCCTAAAATGAATTATGTGGATTTTTGATTTGGGAATGAGAATTTTTTGGTGTTGAGTGCTTGTCCTTTGCCAGATTCTTAAATTGTTTGTTGAGGCTGCTGGTTTCTTCTGTTCATTTTCCTCCTCGTCCATTGTGCTCGCCTATATCTCTTCATTCTGTAGTCGTTATTCATTGGTCTTCTGGACGACGAACACTAGAAGTGAAGCATACTTGCCACCTGGCCATCACACTTAGTTAACGTTCTTCAAATGTTTAAAAAGAGTAACATTGTTTTACTTTTAACACTTCCAAAATAACATTATTCCTCTTCAAAAATAAGTGTATGTGCTCCTTTGAAAAAAACTTCCAAAACATTTTTATCTTTAACCCAAAAAACATTAAAGCTATAGGGATTGGGGGTTGCATAACCCGACTTAACAAGGCATAATCCCTTTAAACAACTTTGAGCTATTTTACTCTTAGCTAACTGGTGAAAACAAAGTTGTCTTCCCATAAAAACAACAACAACAACAACAATAACAACAATAATAATAATAAAAACACAAACACACAAAGGTGTCTTGACCTAAACAAGGTAAAAGCTCAACATCAAACTTCACCAAGAGACCTAAACAAGGGAAAGCTAGTCCTTCAGGTCTGCTTCCAGCTGATCCCATACAAAGTTGTATCGACCACTGTTAAGCAGCCATGCCAACGAGGCTTTGAGAAAGGATCTGAAGACCTGGAACTTCCTGTAGTTCTGTAGCAGGAGGCAGCCATCTCATATCATCCTTAAGTCTTAGCCCAAGATGCTTCACTAGATCAGCACAACCACACCAAACAACAATCCTCCCAAACAGAATAGAATTTTCATTCTTATATGCAGAACATTCAATATGAATATGATCTAATAGGCTCCATGAGATTTAACAGCTTTAATTTCTAGCCAAACCTGGTGCAGGAAAGTAGAGAAAACCAAAACAATTCTATTCCTACTCCAGCTTTTAACCATCCGAGTTATTAATGTGAATTTTATTTTAATAATAAATCACGTGAACATTCAATATTGCATCTTGACTTGACTATATCACCATTCCGGGATCCAGATCATTTTGAAATGGAATTTCGTACTTAAAATGCCATTGTGGGGGAAAAAACCCCCACTAATTTAGAGTAGATAAAACATACATTTACATACAGAACTTCATGGTTGGACAAAAGAAATAATATCTTTTGTTTGCAAGGTTTGACATCCTTCGAATTTCTAATAAGACTAATTTGGAAATTTCATAGCAGGTTCTATTTCATTTCTATATGTATGGACTTGTTCTAGATTACTATAAGAAAATGTACATGTGAAATTTTGTTTAATCAATTTTATTGTACATAATTTAATATTGAAAAACTTCTTATTATTTAATATTTTTGTCCATAGAATTAGAATTAAAAGTGACGAAATGATTGGATGAATGACGTTAAAAAGATTTATCTTATGCATTGCATGTAAATTAAATCATCAATCAATATATATATATATAACACAAAAAGAGCTCAAAAATTATAGTAAAGGATAAAAAAATTACAGCAATGACTCAAAAAATTGCAGCAGAAAATGATCAAGAAAATTTTTTGGTCATTTTTTAATAATTTTGAAATCTTTTTTTGTCATTTTTCAATTAACAAACAATCAAAGTTAATTTATGTTAATAGCAAAGGTCAGATTACACCGTTTTTAATAGTTGAAAAAAAAATAATACACAAAAAATAAGTTAAAATTCCAGATATTTTTAAATTTATAGTTTAAAAACTAATTTGCTTATTCACCCCTAGAAAAATATTTGTAATCCTCGAATAGATTTTATCATGATTTGTACATATGCACACAAAGTATTAGTAATCTCCCCTTTACTGTATTTAGCGTTTTGTAGTACCGTCCGACTTCTTTGTCTAAGATTTTTTAGTATTTTTTAAATTATTATATAATAAATAAAAATAAAAGATTACAAGGACCCTATAATAAAAAAAAGTTGG